CTATTCGAGGTGCTTAGGGGCACCTCATGTCCCAGCCAGTCCATTAGCTACCACCTGCCCTGTCCCAGAGCTGCTGAGGAGGACGGGTGACAGCAGGGGCAGTAATACTGCCTACTAAGACAGATTTACTGCCTGACAAATGGAACAAAGCCTCAACCCTCCCAGAAAAACCCATGTCCCAACACTGTTGTGAAATTAGGGAAAGGCTTTGGACACTGTAGGATAGTGTGAAGACCTCCATTGATTCTGGCGTGGGTGCCTTGAATTGGACCCCTGGTTATTTAGTTGTACTCTGATGCCCCTCTGACTATAAGTGGGAATTTGGTGTCATCTAAATAAGCCATACGGGATCAGCTCTAACACCTTTATGTTCTTAGACACTTTCACATGTTTATAACTATTCCTCTGGAGCAGGCCTGGGATGACTGTAGAAAGAGGAGCCATAAGTGTCTGCTCTCATGTCAGGCCAAAAGCCAATGATTTCTAGAAGCCTGAGGAGTGCATATGGGTGGGTGCGTGGGTGTCCATGCATGCACACATGGGGAAAGGTGATAGTAGCCTGGAGGACTGGGATTTACGATCATTCTGGAAGTATGCCAAAGAATGAAACGTTCATAATAATATTTAGAGCTAGACCAATATATATGGATTTATGAAGCCATTTAAGGAAAATACAAATAGACAACAATTTATGAGGATGTGGGGAAATATATCATTAGAGTAAGGATGCATCATATAAACGCATCAACCACTCCAGGATTTACAGTCGTGTACAGGAAACTACCACTAAAAGCAAGATTGAAGGTCGTATAAGCCCATCTAATCATACATCTGCTTTTCAGAGATATCACTGCCAGTGCAGCAGTGACTGTGGAAACTTTGCAGCTCATGCCAAAATGGCTGCCCCAAGTGCTGGAACTGTGCTTGGACAGGTTGAGCCCCACACTGTAGAAAGCCAACAGCAGCAGAAAACATCCCTGTCACCACGAAAGTGGTAGTCAGGAGAGATTAAGACGGGTGAAGGAGTCATTGGTTCCTCTGGGCTTCCTGGTGCTCCAAGTAAACTGAAATTGTTCCCGCTGTGGGAAAGTGGGCGTAAGCACAGCATCTACACTTCTCTTGTGGCTCTTTCATCTCAAACCCAGACCAGCAAAATGAGTATTTCCCAACAGGTGATGATCACCTTTCCTCTCATTAAAGCCAGGAAGTGGGCTATGAGGAAGGAAATATGTGGTGATGGAGCAGCTTTCAAACCACAGGTACTGAGGCAGGGCTGCAGTCCAGCACGAGAACTGGAGTAACATCCCAATACTCTTTATAACTGGATATTTTTCCATGTGGATTTTTTGGCACATTCATTGTTTTCCATACTGTGGCAGACAAGTATGGTCCTAATTTAATGAGGCATTATGTGCAAAACTGAATTATAATAATTCACGTTAGCACTTCAGCCAGTTTCACCTGATGACTCTACAGAAAATAGTCTGCTAAAGCTAAAAGGACTTGAGTCATAAGGAACCATTGCAGAAGAATATCACTAAAAGTGACTTCAAGAGATTAGGGTGAATTATTTACATATTTACATACATGTATATCTGTTTATACAGTTTAGCCCATGAATTCTAGACTCTGTCTGAATGGCCTTTAAATGGACTGTGGATTAAAAAAGCTTGTTACTAAAGAATGTTCTGTGAGTGTTTCAGACCTAGTTTCACATAACGCAAGAAGCATTTGTCCCAGGTACCCTTGATTCATTATCAATTAGAAGGATTAAGCAGTCTGTACTTGCTTTACTTGCTTCATTAATCATCTTTTTAATGATGCAAAAGAAGCAAAAATAGGAGGAAAAAAGAGAAGTGGAACTAAATTTTGGGGAATAAAGGAAATAGAATAGTTCTTCACACACACAGAGGATCAAGTCATTACCATTGTCACATTTTTCAGGAGCAAAATTAGTCTTTAATGGATAAAAACTCTGTGATGGATTAATGTCAATGCTGGGAAGTTTCCAGTGCTGGGAACTAATAATTTCTGAATAGCTTTATATGGTGCTGTTGTATAAACAGCCCTCATGGTAGGCACAGTCCTGCAAAAAGAGACATTGAGTTTTCCCAACTCCAGATGAATTCCCTGGGAGCCAAGGGTAGATGTCCCTACCAAAAATGTCTTTGTACATCATGAGAATAGCACCTTGAAACACCCTGAAGACTACAGCTCGTGGACAGCCTGGTCCACATTGCTTGGGTTAACCTCCCCACCCTTGGAGATACTCAAAACCTGTCCCTAGGGCAAGGCCCCGAGCAGTTGGAGCAAGCTGGACTTGCTTTAAGCAAGGACTTGGACATGAGACCCTTGGAGGTCCCTCCAACCTAGGTTATTCTACAGTTCTAGGGCACCATTTGAAATCAACTGCTCAGGCACACAGACAGCTCCTTGGAAAGGCTGTTTTACAAAAACCTGCCAACATTTCTGTGTGTCCACACTTTAATCTCTCAAAATCAGCACTTCCCTAGGAAGTATACCCCTTGTTTCAGTGCAAAAAGCTTCTCTGAGCTCAAGCTGCTTCTACTGTATGGCTATTCCCTGAGCCAGTCCCTAGGTGTAGCTTCTGCCTGACAGTACTGTAGAATTCGCCTACCCTGTCTTTGGTGATCTTAAAGTCAAAGCCTGGTCTATGGGGGAGAGTCAACAGAGGAAAAAAAAATAATCTATAAGAGAGTTCATCCCATTCTAAGACATCAGGGCTAAACTGCCACCTGGAGGTGCCTGCCTCCCTCCTCTGCTCACAGCGGCAGCCTAGGCAACAGTTTTTGGACTGGGCTCTGGTTTTCAGGCAGCTGGCATTCCGAGAGGTGAATGCCCTCTCTTCAGGCAGATGAACAGAAAAAACCTGGATGAAAATGGCCACGTCTCCCCATGACAAAAAGTTTGAGAGCACAGCACTGGAACCTTACGCACTCAGTGCCCTTTCCTAAGTACAAGAAATCTCCTCTTTCTCCTCTTCAGAGCATTAAACATTAGACTTGCCACCAAAAGAAGAAGAAGAAAGAGTCAAGCAGATCATCTCTGAATAATTTTCTTCTCTTTTGTGGACTGTTTTTGTTTTTCTTTCTGTTGCTATCCTCTAAGAATAAACGTACTCTCTTTTCACATGTGTGTAAAGAGTAACATTTGTGGAGCCCTGAGTATTAACCAGTTCCTAGAAGAGGAGCTTGAATATCTATTCTCCCAGTTGAATCTCTGTGAGCTAAATCCTTTGTAGCAAGAGGGCAGTGATGCTCACAGAAGCAGGCACTTAAAAAGCAGGGGAGGGCAATAGCATTGTATACTGCATCCTGTATATGCAGCAATTTCCTTCAGCTGATTGCCAGCCACCACACATGGGACATCAGCATTACCATTTTCACAGAAAGGACAGTAACAGTGAAGAATGGGGAGGGGAAGTCAACCACAGACTCAGGGGTGACTCCAAAGTAATCGTTCAGAGCTTAGTTTGTTGCAAAGTCCCCCCTGGCTCAGGCTGCATTTAACCCCATTCCTACCATGGCTGAGTATAAGGGGATTTATATCCATGCTTAGAGATTCGAGATACAAGCCATGGACAGATGTGTTAGGAAAGAGCAACAGGAAAATAAGTGAATATGTTCTCTTAAGTGGACTGTGCAACGTCCGAAGTGTCAAATTTCTTTTCCTAATATAGAATATCTGATTAAAACAAATGCAAACTGCACACGATGCAATAAAAAACAAATGTTCCATTTTCCACTTCTTCTTGCTACAGCTGTTTGTTTTAAATATATAAAGATTAAGGGAACAGTCTTAAATTTAATTAAATCCCAAAAGAACTAATGATATTTATGCATATTAAATTTTTAAAGGCACTTGTGGCTGTTCAGCCAATCATTCACTGGACTGTCATAACATGCCTCCCAACCCTAATTTAAATTAGAAAGAAGAAACACACGAAAAAAATGTGCAGACAGTAACCTTTTCACTGCACATATGTTTAAGAGATAAATGCCCATCTAGCTTTAAAAAGCAACAAATCTAATAAATGGCCACATCATCATAATTCAGCAGTAGAAAAAAAATCAATGTTACAAATTTCAGAACTACATCTCTCAGGAAAGTAAATGAAAACATCAATTCAAACCTACTTTAAAGAGTTTATAAGGGGAACATTGACATCTTAACACAGAAACTCCCAGATCACTCTAGATGAAGCTGAGGCTTTCCCAGAGCTGTGATGCAGGGAGCAGCATTCAGTGGGGCCATCTTTGGAACATAGCAGGAAGCCCCACTCTGTCGTTTGCTTTTCCCTTCTCTAGCAAGGTCGCGCCCTTCTCTAGTCCTGTACCTTCAATGAGCCAACAGGTACATTAGTACCCGGGTCTCTAACGAAGATCTCTCAGTGAGAGGAAAAATGCTTTCTTTTTCTTTTTGCAGTAAATTAAGAAAGCCTCTGATGTGGTCCTGAGTAAGTTTTTGGTCCAAAGCTACAATCTCTGAACCTTCTCCCTTGTTACCAAGTCAGTTGTAAATGCAGGTTGCGAAGTTGCAAGGCTTTGTATTCTTCCCCCCACATACTTTCCCCCCCTTGCATACTCAACACGTTATCCCAGTTCATACATAGTCATCTTTCCCACCTCAAACTATACTCTTCCTCCCTGCATCTCCTAAACACTAATAAAAGATGTTTCCTGTTCCACCTACCTTTCAGCACTGCCATACAGCATTAACCAGAGATAACTTTGAAAGACCAATGAAGTATGGCTCCTTGCTATACAGAAAGCCCCAAATACTGTTCCTTCTATCACAAGCAATTCTGCAGAGTTTCTTGAGTAAGAAAAGCACTTCTCTGTCTATCGTTAAGCCTGGTTTTATAGTTTATCAATCATAACAGAAAAAGACACAGCCATTAAGTAGTGTTGTGTTCCTGTTTATGAGAGACTCTTCAACCTTACTTTGCTGATACAACACAGCCTTTGCCAGGCACTTACCTATCAAATACTCCAGCCAGAATTGGTCTGCCTCTGGCTTGTAGGGTCGGTTGAAGTCAATCTGGATCTGGAAAGGCTGTCCTCGACGCACTATCAGCTTGGGGCTGTAGTATTTGTCAGTGTGGTGCTGCTGCTTGTTGATCTCATGTGGCTCCTTGAACATATGAATATCCACAACGCGCAGGTAATCTGCAGAGACATGGAAATGAACAGAGAGAGAAGGAGTCAGTATGTTGGAATGTCAATGTTGACATCAACATCATTAGAGGTCCTGTCTTCCTCTTCCTCAGCATTGCCTCATCAAGTAACAGTGTGCAATGGAGCATGCTGGATCTGTCTGGGGCTTATATCCTCCTGGCTGAGCAGAGACTTATGGACTGACACTTCTTTGTCCACCTGCCATTTTCACAGAGGCTGCAAGGCTTCTAGTGAATGGCAAAAACAGGTTGCTACAGGTGGAAAGACTAACGTCCCCAAGGAGAGCTGGGCTCCATCTTTCCTTTGGCATTGGCTTTCTGCAAGTCTGGGCCTCGCTGCCACAGGTGTAGCAGTGCAATCAGTGGGCTTTTGACAGCTGTGGCTTCATGTCTCCCTTCTTGCAGGCCTCCGTTTGTAAAATGCAAATTCACAGGGGTTTTGTGACGTTTAAATACATTAGTGTTCACAAAGCACTACTCCTATCAAGCGCTGAAGAGCCTGAGAGGCAGTTAATGATCTTACATTCAGCTGAAAGCCTGGATTGTCTGTATTAAATAAGGTTTTGGTGTACTGTATGTGTCTAGACTCAGCTTCTCAGTACACCTCCACTGCTATTAGTGTCTTCTTACAAAAACTAAATATAACATTACAGCATATAATTACAGCATAGAGTTACAGGCAAGCAGCAGTAGGTATCTATAACATGCATGGGCAAAGCTTTGCTCGCTTCAAATTAGGGTTTTATAGGTTATAGCCTCCCACTGCTAGAAGTCAGTCTGCTCAGCTAATGACCAGTGTGGAGTGGCACTGGGATAGCCAAAAGCACTTGCAGTCACCACGAGCTCCATGACTGTACCGTACTGAGATCTTCACAATGGGAATCTTCTCACACAATGAGCAACCACATGAAAATGAACTGGACATCATTCTTTTACCTACATCCTCTGGCAGATAGTCACAAAACCTCTGCCAGGAGGACTGTTACTGCTCACCACCAGGAGGGAGACAGAAGAGTAAAGCTTGATTTGCAGCTCTCAGCTTGTCTTTCCAGGTGTTGACAGTTAGAAACTAGCTAATTTCTGCATTTCATACTGATAATGACAGCCAAACTCACGCTTGGCAAAAAGAGGTATGCATTTACAGCAGCTGGTGGAGCTGTGTGTACTCATGATGGTGGCTAATTTGGCCTGCTATTGAGTACACTGCAAGCAGCAATGATGTGCTCAGCGAATGAGTTGGATATTCAAGTTGCTGAGGGCTGAACGCAGTCCATTTCACAGAAGCTCAGACAACAGCTTTGCATACTGCTCTTCCTTGAAGGCAGGGAGACACTGCACAGTGGCCAGCTCTGGGCAAGCAGCAGAGCAGCTCCCTCTGGGGTGTGTAGCCTCCGGGCTACAGCAGCCTGTGCATTAGCCCTGCCCTTCTGCAGGGATGTGTTCCAAGACATCAGCAGAACCCTGGAGGCAGCAGCTTCCCTAGACGCCAGCATGGTCCTTCTCCTGCCCCAGCCAAGCCACCCTGGGGCTCTGGAAGAAAGCTAACAGGAGAGGAGGAAATAAGGGCAGCAGGAGCAGGTCTCGCTTGTGCATTGTCACCATCAGCTGCTTAGCCCTACCCTTTGGAAAACAGAAGGACATAGCCTAAGGACACAGAAAGATAAGGATCCTTTCACTGAAAAGCACTGGACAACTGAACCCCAAACCATCATCTCCTGCTAACCCTAATCTGTGGAAAGGCTGGAATACCCTGTTCAGTCCTGAGGCAGGCTTAAAATCCCATGGCAATGTTATTATTATTCTCCTCTCAATTCACCAGGCTTCTGGAGTAACTTCTGTAGATCCCCACTAGCTTTAGCGCTGGCTGAAGTTACAGAGCTGGTTTTTGTGTGAAACATTACATGTGTTTTGCTCAGAAATCATTGTCATTGCCCCTCTGTGAAGTGGGGCATATCTTTGCCTCCCTCCTTGCAAAACTTACCAATGCTCACTCACAATAATGCTGACAAAGCTCACAATTAAATTATGTGAGACAGGAATTTCCTGGAGGGGGTAAAGTGAGGGCAGGGGACAGTCTCTCCCATTATCTTTCCCAACCCCTCCCAGCCTGAAAGGACTGCATGTAAAAGCTGAATATCTTGGGGCTCTGTGAGGGGTGAAGCTATCAGTAAGTTTGGCTCAGCTTTTCCCTCCTTCCAAGAAGGCATAAAAATAGAGTTGAGGGTTTGTTGTATTTTCATCTTGTGTTCTGAAATAAAAGTCGTGACCCTGCACTTCCTTCGCATGTTAGTCCCTTCAAGGAACTGCAGAGCTAAGCCACCCTGGGCCATCAGTTCAGCATTTGCTTCATTTTATTTCAGGACTTTACATGGCTCCTATCAAGATGCAGCCACATACATCTGCAGAAAACACATTTCACTTTAACTCTCAGTGTTAAAAATGTACATTGAGCTTGCCAGATAAAGATAATCTGTGACCAAGCCTGTGCTAATTACAAAATGGTAATTATGGAGGACAAAACATGAGCTAGGTAATGGGATGCGCTAACACCATCATCGGGATGCAATCAGAAGGAAGGCTCCAGGCGATGACATGTCACCGCTCTGGTGACACCACCACACATGTCTGTGAGGGACAGGTGGCCATCGAGGCCTCCTTTGAAATTGGGACCATTTGACAGTTTGCTCACAGCCTAGTCTGCTGTTTAGTGCAAGCAGGATTGCTGCATGAGAGGCAGCAGTCTGATGCTTGCTTAAAGCTTTTGCAGTGTTAAGCTTGCATGGAAATAAATGAGCAGAGGCTTGAGCTATTTATCAAATAACGAGAGTAGCCTTCAAACATCAGGTTTTCTTGGACAACCAGAGAGAAAGGGCTCTGGATTACAAACTGAACAGTGTGAGCTTCCAAAGGAGGTGTCCATCACTTTGCTAACAGGGGAAGCACGATTCCCTGGCGAGTCGCCGAACTTTGCGAAGGAGGGTGCGTGGGGAGCTTGCAGACCGTGGGGCCGCGGGGCTGTGTCCTCCCACCTAACGGCTGTGAGCACCAGGCCCACTCGTAACACATCGTGGTGAGATGAGCTGGATAGGAAGAGCCAGGGGGAGGACGCAGCACAGACGTGTTCGTGGAGGCACAGGCTTCTTGCTGAAGAAGCGCTCAGGGGCTGCACATCCCTCTCACTGAGCATGTCCTCCTGCAAGCAAGCCAGGCTCCCGCAGCAGGCAGCCCACTGACCAGGCTGTGGAGACAGCCACCCATCCCTGGCAGCCTCCGCCGCTCACTCCGGCTGTGATTCAGCAGAGTAGAAGTGGGTGTCAGCAGAGAGCTAGGCGAGCACAGGGTTTTACCTCCTCCTAGAGTAGTAGCTAAAATAGGTCAAATGAATCACACCCTAAAAATGCCTGTTTCTCTCTGTTGGCTGTCAAGGGAAACGAGGGTGACTAGCTCAGCTGTAGACACCTACACTGCACAGATCAAGGGCAGGATTCAGTTAAATTTAGGCATTTAAATGATTTTAGCCTGGTTTGTAACCTCTTATTATGGCCAGTTGGCGGCTCGTTGCTGCAGCCAGTAGAGCTGAGAGAAGGGTACAGATCACCCTGAAAGTGACACCCACTGCCTCCCCACACAGCCTGTGCCCTCACCTCCACTCACTGGATGGCTCTGTGTTGACTATGATCTGACACAGGTGAAGACACTGAAATTTAGATGTTTATAGCAGGTGTCCAATCCTATCCCAAAGGCTAGAAAACATCTCAGATGGTAACAGAGGGGATAAAAGCATTTGCATGATTTTTCAGTGTGTTACGGCAATGAAATGTGGGAACAATTACAAAAAATTTGGACAACCTAGAAGCGTAGATGCGTGCAGAAGGGGAAGGAGGTGGCACAAGCAGTCCTTGTGCCACAGCGCTAGAGCCCTGTTGTATTCAGCCACTCCCGCTCTGCCTGCAGACATTCACTTTATCCCCCAAGCGCAGCACTGTAAGTGTTCTGGGCAGGCTCAGCTCCTGAATGCCAGTCCCAGTCTGAGCTCCATTGGGCTATAAACCTTTAACATGGTCTGACAGGTAACTTAAGCATCCTACCCCAAAACAGTGTGTCCAGGGACAACACTTACATCAGCTGGTATCACAGGCTTAGATCACAGTTGATGTGCACTTAAACAGAAACGCTGCTGCAGTCCCTTCCCTTCAGGTCACCCCCTGCATGTTGTTGCTACAAGCATTGCAAAGCTGAACTGCACAACAGAGCTGATCCAGCTGTACAAAAAGAGCTTTGCTGTCAGGCACAAATTTATTTTTCAGCTATACCAGTCCCATAGACAAGTTTATTGTAAGGTCACACAAACTCTTGCTTTGGACAATGGCTGTTTTTTTCATGAGCAGCACCACCTTAAGCACGTGTGGGGTTCCTGCTTCAACTCACTTGACCTGACATTCTTAAGTTTCCATTGCATTTCTGAAAAGCAAGAGGCTCCCACCCACCAGCACTGTACTACTTTCAGAGCTTGATGTGAAGCACATCAAAAAGCAATAGGAGTCTTTTTCATGGTACTGGTGGGCTTTAGCTACAGGCTGCATTCCTTCTAAGGTATCCCACACTCTTACACATCTCCAGCTTCTGTGAGATTATTGGGTTTGAAACGATGTCTAGTCAGGACCTGTATTGCATTACATTTGACAATTTAAACACACATACTTGCCCCAGAGCTACAGGGTTGTTTGAAAAAGTTCAAGCAAAGTTTCTACAGTCTTAACATGCCAGTTGGTTTGCCCAGGCGTTCTATAAAAGAGATGCTTTTTAAGGAAATGCGTGTGTATTAAAATGGGGGTGTCGTGTGGTTAAGGCACATGATTAGGATTACAGAAATAATCCCTTGCAATAAAAATTTGAACTTGTCACTTAAAATCTCTTTGCCTGTTTCTCAATGTGTAAAATGCAGTAATTAATTCTTGTCCACATTTATTAAGCACTCTCTCTTTCCACCCTGGATGAAAAGTCCCATACAAGCATTAAGTATAATTACATCTGGCTACTCTGAGTTGCCACGTTCAACAAGTTCTGCTGTTCATTTCAAATAGGCCAAAAAATTAACGTCATTTGGTTAGTGACTCACTCAGGAGCCAATCCTGATTTCTTTTAAACCAAATCTTACCTTTTTTTTTTTAGGTTCACTCCAAAGAGTTGGCACTGAGAATGTGGTTTGATTTGCCTATCCCCTACCATGATATTGTTTTGTCTCCCCAGCCAAACGATTTCACAGGAGATTAATTAAAAATATAGGGTTTTCTTTTAGTTTTGCATTCATTTTTATGAGCAAATGGAACATCTAGCAAAAGTTTTCCCTACCAGTCAACATTTTCCAGTAGTTTCTCAGTCAGTTTTAGGCCGTACACACCAGAAGGGCAAGTAAGAGAGGAGGCTTCTCCTGCCTCCTTCACCTCAGTGCTGCCACAGCCATGACCAAAGCCAGCAGGTCCTAAAGTGCCTCTGTGATTGTGATCACACTGGGAAAACCCATTCTTGCCTTTATTTAACCAGTCCCACAGTTCAAGCTAAGAACTGGTTACTCAGCTTTTCCGCTCCTCACTTTCCCTATCCACAACCTGCAGTAACATTTCTGTGCACATGGGTGTTTTTAGCAAGTTTTTTCATGAGCAGCAATAAAAGCTATCTGAGATCAAAGCACGTAATAAAAAAGTGATTTCATTTTAATTCACGGACCTGGGCAGAGGTGAGTATGGAAGATGTAAAAATAGACCCTGGCTTAATTGTACACTGTACCTTTTGGATTAAATCCTCTAGGCAGCACTGCAAAAGCCTCCATCTCAGGGACCTCATTTTCTTCATCATTGGAATTGTTTAATGGGATAGCTCTTCTCCCATTCACAGGAGGTTTCTTCTCCTTGTTGGTGCTTGTTGTTTCAGACATCCTGTATTGGAAAAGTTGTAACGCCATCAAAGACAGACAGACTGCAAGGAAAAAGCAAACATGAGCCAGCATGGCACATGTAAGACGGGAGAAACCAAAAACAGTGTGGGGTGCCAGTAAACTACACATTTTTAGACACACATAAATAAAAACTGAGAAGCAGAAAACATCAGTCATGATGGAGTACAGTTCTCTAAGGATTGGAAGGCATTTTGTGTTTGTCAAAACGCATGAATAAGGGAAGAAGGGAGGTGGGAGGAGGAGAGGGAAGCCTAACACAGAAGTATTTGCCTAGGACAAGTAGGGCATTAAAAACATTAGGGAGTTTCAGGTAAAAGAACTGGAAAATCATTTACTCTCCCACCCTTCAAAAGAGCATTATTGAATTCAAAATAGCAAATTATATTTCCAGAAAGTACATCACATGCTACCTCCCCCTAATAAAAGTGCCATTCTAAATTATACTGCAATTATCCCAAATACTACAACAGTCTGTGGATGATTAGTGGAGAACTGTTTTTTTGTTCCTATACACAAGAACACCCAACGTGTAAAGGGCTAACTCCTGCACCCAGACAATCCAATTCTGTGAAAAAAAAAAAAAGAGGGGTGAAAAGGGGAAAAAAAAAAGAAAAGAAAATAAAAAAGCACTTATCCACTTATTTCTCTCCCACTAACAACCTTAAGGGAAATTTCAGATGTAGGCTGATCAGAGACTTCTCTTTAAGCTAGTCAAAACTGCTTTCACATCTATTTCAGTGTAGCAATGAAAAAGCCATGCCATCCTGCTAAGAAAATATTTATGGCTGAGAACACAACTTCTTCCCAAAGCTCCTGAAAACAGCAATTCAAAGTGTAGCAATTATTTAATATCAGTAAGCTCTTAAAGGAATTTTTTCAGTTAGCAAGGGTACCTTCTTTTCAGATAGTCTTTTTTTTTTGTTTCTTCTCCCTTGTAGAATTTCTGAAGTGAAATAGAAGCCTGGAAAAGGTTGGGGGCTTTTAAGTAACCTCTGTATACCCTCCTCCTTCCTGTTGCAATAGGACAGTGCTGAAAGAGTTGCCAGTCCCTCCCCACACAACTGCCAAGGATCTGTCACCACATCTCTGCTTACTCCCTCCCTCTCCCTGCCTCTCTTACCCCAGGCCTGCTCATCAGGAGCATTTCAGGGCACTTGGGCTAAGGAAACAACTTGGGCACTGAAGTTTCAGCAGTTAGTGAGATGGAATAGAACTGCTCATGGAACAAGGGCACATGACGGTGGAGACTGGAGGAGATTTTCTGAGAGACACAGCTCAAGAAGCCATGCTTACCATGGTGCCAGTCTTTAATGGTGCCTCTGCTCAGGGTGCCTGCAATGCAGCTTCAGGTGCTGGTTTTCAGAGTACTCTCAGGCAGACACATCAACAGTTCTACTGCCTGGTGTCTCACGCCAATCCTTGCAGAGGACTGTGGGGCACACAGGCATGAAGAGCTCATTGGTGGCCCAGTTGACAGGACTGTTTTCTTGAGATCCTGTGCAGTTCAGGACAGTGAAGGTATTTTGCCCCAAACATCTATGTTTGGGGCAAATGACCTTCAGCTCTTGCCCATAATAAAATGTCCATCACCTAACAACCAGGGTCTGGGGCAGTAGCTGGTGGAAGCATTTTAGCTCCACATCAACTTTGCTGAGTTTCACCAAGCTCTAAGAGAACTGGGGAGTGCGTGACACCCGTCAGACATTACTCCACAGACCAGTGGAGTTACATGGAGAAAAAGGAATGTACAGTGAAGAATTCAGGCCCACTGTCCTGCCAGCTGCTGCTGTCTGGCAGCAGAGTCACCTACAAAGAACATGCATGGGCAGTGGAGAGCCCCTCTTACACACATGGGACCTGCCATGGGCACTTATTTGCCTCAGTTGCAGGGTAGATGAAGCAGCAAGCAGACAAAGAGGACACCACTCTCTTTCAACCAGCTATGACTTCCAGTCCAGTAGCATCAGTGAAGTCTCAAACCTGTGCTGGCTTAACACCATTGAAATCAAGTCAGGAGACAGAAGAATCAGCTCGCATTCCTGTAACGCGAAGCAGCAAGTAAATCATCTGGAAGACAGGACCCCCATCCTAGCTCCCTGGGGATTTCCCAGCTGCTGTGAGGCAGCTCTATATGAGCCAGGACACCTGCACAGTGTGGGGCAGAGATGCCAGCTGCAGACCTGGGAGCATCATGGCTGCACCAGCACAGCATTGTAGCTGGGCTAAGCAGCCTGCAAGGGCTGATTGCTGAGGCATAACACCAGGCTGCAGCCGTTTGGAGGCAGCCTCACTATCTGCATACAAGCGTTGCACTACGCTGTCTCATAGGCAAAGGGCTCAAGCTCTCTCCCACCTCCCCCAGCAGGCTATTAGGTATGTAGAACGGAAAGCCACCTAGCCATGGGACTCCCCTTCCCCTGCCCTGCTCCCCAAGGAGTGCGAGCACCCTGCGGGGACAGATCTGATCCCATCACTAGCATCCTGAGCTGCGATTTCTATTGACTCACTTCTACGCAGATGGGCCCTGCGGTAACCATCTGGAGGGCAAGCGGCACCCCTGGCTCCCGGGAACACAACAAACTTTCTGGGGGAGGAGGCTGGTTGCTGATTCTCTTTTCTTCTTTCTCCTTCCACCCTGATTTCTACGTGGTGTGGTGTGCTTTGTGCCTCTCTTTCCACTTCCAGCCAGCACGTCAGTTCCCAAAATTGCAGCTGCTACAACGTTACAAAAACTGATATAAATATTGCCTCAGTGCCATGCCTGCTGGAGGCCTGCAACACAAATAAGAAACACCATCTCCCGAGGAAGTCATGTGCTTCCCCAAGTGGCTGCGGTGCTGTCAGAGCCGGGAGGAAAACTTTCCGTCAGAGCGAGGAAGGGAGCGGGTGGATGCAGCCAACAGATCCCACTACAGCCATTGCGCTTAAACAGCCAGCGGTTGCAGATGTCTCCCCGCGCCCATGCACATCTCTCCGGGGCTTTCAGCAGAAGCCGACCATCACATGGAAAGCGGGGAGGCCAAAATTTTTGGCAGTAGCGGCAGGAGCAGGGCTTTGCATCCAGGGAGAGTAACGTTCCGTAGGCTGTAATTTATTTATTTTGTGGGGAGTGATGTAAATTCGTGCTTATGACAGCTCCAGATGGCAGGTATTTTCTCATTACCTTGACTTCTTAGCATTTGCTCTCCCTTGCCTATTAGACTGTGCTGGCCTTAATTTAACTTCCGTGGTTTGAAACTACTGACGTCAGGGCTGATGCAGGAGGGGGCACAGAGAACACAAAGCCCTGGTTTTCCTGTAGGGCCTTATATTTAATGAATGATGCACTGGGATGACCGGTGAAAGAGTGCTCTCTCTTCCTGAAGCCACTTCTGCACCGCACCCTGAAGGGAACTAAGACCCCATGACCATTTCTCAGAGGTAGCCTTCAGATGCTCATGGCCTTTGCCAAAGACCTTTGCAGTCACAGGCACCCTTCCCACTGCAATGGACTTTTTACAATGGACAGCCCTTCTTCCCAGTCCCCACAGAAAAGCCCTTAAACGGCTGCAAAGCTTGCACCGTAAAGGGTTCTCCAAAATGCAGTTTCCTGTTGTTGCCAGAGCCAGTGTCACTCTGTTCCAAGTCACTCTGTGCCAGACAAGAGTTTGTGGGGGAAAAAAAAACAACTCACAAAACACAAGAGTCAGTAAAGCTTTACAGCCAGAGGAGAGGGCATGCCAAGATCTGTCACAAGCAAACTGATCAACCAGGTGCTCACATAAATGGGTTGCTGTGCTGTGTGCCAACGGCTGGATGGGAGAGATATTTTGCCTATGACTACTGTAGCTACAGCAAGCTCTCCTCGGCAGCAGCTGAGCATTGTAAAGCTCTGCAACAGGGTAACTTCCTTTCTTCCTTTTTTAAAATATTACCCTCATGCCATTTGCAGTCTAGATAGGTGTTCAGGTGCACTGGGACATTATACTACAGCATGTGCATAAGTGTACCTGTGAGGACATCATCCTCACTCCTCACAAACCAGACTCTCAATTCTGATCTTCTATACATAATAATACAACATTACCTCTCTCCCGTCTTCTCAGAACTTCACTCGGAAACTTGCCCACTTTCTTAGGTGATCAAGTCTGTCTTTCCCCTTCCTCTGCATGAGTACTTGTCTCCCAGAAACTGATGTTCCTCTTTCTACGATGACCTGCCTCACCAAGGCTGCAGGCAGAGCGGAGCAGTTTCTTGCAGAAAGTATGAATAAAAAATGTTATTTTTAAAAAGAAGCAAAATTCAGAAACGTTCATTTGGTGGTTTTGTTTGCATATTTTGCTTCGAGTTTTTTAAAAAACAAAACCAGTTAATATATCCGTCTGTATGTAACAGCTCTGGCTACCACACACAGAGGAGTATATTTTGAGATAATGCCGAAAATTCAGAAGGCCCAGCTCTAAAACATGGCATGTGTACACGTCTGTATGTGTGAAGGAGGGGCAGAGGCAGAGAGAGATAAAATGGCAGCTCTTCAGATGGTAGAACATTTGGAGAAGGGGTTATAGGGCCAGTTTTCAAAAGATATTGTTGCAAATGTTTCTGTTGCAGGAAGAAAAAAAACCACTTATATATCTATATATTCATACATATATTCTGCTAGGAAAATGTGGCTTAGGAAATTTAACTCTTCTCTGAAAAACTGTTGTTACAAACTGCAAGTCTAAATTCAAACTGTAGATCTGTATAAGCACCTATATCTGAGCTGGCCATCTTAGGCTCCTTTATTCCTCCGCACAGATCTAGTCTAGGCAGTGATTCATCTCCTCCTACAGCAGACATGTAAATAGGTCAGATGAATCATGGCCTAAAATTGCCTGTTCCCTGTATTGACTGCAAAGGGAGCTTGGGGTGATGGGTCCTACTGTATGTGTCTACACTGCCAATGTCTACAGTGAGGTGAGATGAATCCTAGCGTAGGCACAGAAAAAGCAAAGGATTTTATTTTGGTTTTGAGGCCTGGCTTTCAAGTGTTAAATTATCGTTTACTTTTATGGAAGACACTGCTGCAAATCATTATCAGTGATACACAGTATACAGTTCGATACACTTTTTTTTCTCTCAGAATATGTGGCTGCCACTGCCAATTACGTAAAATATATTTCTTACAGTAAGTGTCAGATTACAGTAAAGTACATAAACAAGCTCATGAGTTCAGGCTTGGGAAAACATGCATCTTTTTGTACTCATCTGTGAAGGCATTTTGCTTCCTTATACAGAAATATAACTGTACATGTAGTAACTGCAGCAAAACAAGAAAACAATTGTATTGTGTGTTATGAACATACGATCCAGGTTCCCACTCCTATTCTTACTGACATCTGAATCCAAATCATTCAATTGATTGGGTACTAGGGGCTGTCCTACTTTCTTACAGAAAAAGTAAAAGAGAAGCCAAACTAAGGCAAAGGCATCTTTCCTAAACGATGATACTCACAGGCTTGAGCTAAGTTTACTGGTTTATGTTTTGCTGGAGTTGAGGCCTTAAAAGATGAAAGAACATCTTTCAAAAATGGGATTGGACAACTGCACTGCTGCAGCCAGCTGACCCAGAAGCTGCTAAAGACACAAAGGCTGTGGACCTTAGATTTTTATTCCAACCCCAAAAGAAAATGACAGGACATCAAAGCAAAGTCATAACTACCCAAAGACTTAAGCAGAAAAAGCCATTTTAGATAAAACATTTGTCTGAATAAATTTCACCATATATGCCATATGTTTGGGCCAAAGAAAACGACTTTTCTAAAGCAACTTCTTCAGTACCACTTTATCTTCTTAACTCCACATACCCAAAGAGAAACTCTTGGCCCAGGGATCAACCCTACTTGGTCCAACAGGCAATGAGACTGAGAAAAGGGACTGTAACTTGGAGAGCAAGAGAAACAGATGATTTGTGTGA